GGCGGCATGAGCCAGTAGGCTGCCCCTCATCTCCATGACCACAGCTGCACCAGCCCCCCACCACCACCACTCTATTCAAACGGGGCTACACAGGAGCACATCTTAAAACCACATGGCAGGGGAACAAAACCCAGGCTTCATCTATAGATGCATTGTGGCTCAGCTGGTAAAGAATCCGCCTGCAATGCAGGAGACCTGGGTTGGATCCCTGGGTTGGGAAGATCCCCTGGGGAAGGGAAAGGCTACCCACTCCAGTACTCTGGCCTGGAGAATTCCATGGACTGTACAGTCATGGGGTCACAAAGACTTGGACTTGACTGAGCGACTTTCACTTCACTTGTGTTCCATATGTGGGTCCAAGTTGAAAGTAACACAGCAGTTAGTTGTGCTACTAGGAGTAGGCTTGAGAAACAGAGAAAGCAAGAGAATCCTTCCAGAACTTTAGGCAGTGCACCTGGTCATCTAATTCGTGTTAAAGGAAAAACGTCCTGATGTTAGAATATATTCAGAGGTCTGGGTAGAGAAAGATTGGAAGATTGGTTAGAGACTTGGGTGAATGTGAGCATGGAGTGGAGCATGAAGCTCTTTGTATCATAGCCTAATGCCCACTAGAAAGTATCCACATGGAAGAGGCACTAAATTAGCAAGCAGACAGGACGATTTGGCCACCTGACATCAGCCAGTCTCAGGCATCAGCCACCACGGTGCTGGCACAATGGGCACAAAAGAGAAGTGGTCAGGGTCAGAGGGAAGGACCATGGGCTCCCATGAGCAGCCTGGGGTCCCGCTAACCAGGCTGAGTTTAGTGGTGTTGCTAACAAGCATACAACCTGCAAGCTGACCCAAGACCCCCATCCAGCACCATTCCTCAGGGAGACCAGCTGCTCTTCCATGACCAAGTGGTTATTTGGGGTCCCTTCCATCCTGCAAGGGCCAGTGGTTAGTCATCACAGGATAATGTCTATTCCAAATAGGATCCTAACCCAATAATCCCAACCAGTAAGAAATACATTTGTTTTAATCCCCAGTCTCAAGTCACTCCAGAAGGCTTATGCTAAGAGCTGTGGAGCATGTTTTCCCACAGTGGTCTCCACCAGCACCCTGAAATGAGTATCAGTTAAGATCTTAGGCTATGAGTACACTGCTATGAGCTATGGTATGGTCTCCTGGGATTCTTTATTCTGTGCTCTTAGCAGGAGGAAGTTAAACCACCTCAGCACTCTCCTGGCTGCCTTTAGAATGTCTTCTGTGTTTGGAGGGCGTGAATATTGCTGGATTGTAATCTTTGCTATCAGTCCAATGATGACTGGGGTTGTAAAAGCTTGCTAATGGCATTATAGAATGATTATTTGTTCTATACAAACACTTTCTTCTGTTATCATCTGGAGGAGTGACAAGTCTCATAGTTCACCTTCCTCTATGAATTTCTAAGGAAGTCATAAAAGACTTGTAGTAATCCAAATGACTTCATTTTTTCTGACTGCTCTGTGTCTTCATTGCTGTGTGCAGGCTTTCTCTAGTTGCGGGGAGCAGGGGCTCCTCTCCAGTTGCAGTCCTTCTCGTTTCAGTGACTGCTTTTGTCATGGATCACGGGCCCAAGGCCGAGTGGGCTAAGTAACTGTAGCAAGTGGGCTTAGCTGCCCTGAGGCCTGTGGGGATCTTGGTTCCCAGACCAGGGGTGGAACCCATGTCCCCTGCATTGGCAGGAAGAGTCTTAACCACTGGACCGCCAGGGAAGTCCCTCCAAGCATTTTTAAACAATGCTTTCTGCAGCCTTCAGTATTCTGACCAGAGGTTTGGTGAGGGAGGGACAGGAAGGAAGAGTCTCTCCTGCAAATAACAAGGATAGAAAAAAAGCTTACGTGTGTGGGTAGAGTAAGCAGAAAAATGTACAGTGATGTGCAAGGAGGAATGTAAATCTTGACCACTAGCAACATGGAAGCATAAAACATCTCTATACATTGCTCTTAATTATACATTAGAAAACATATTTTGGAGAGGAGAGAGATCAATATAGATTGTTTCAGCACAAATGATTTTCTTTGAGTTGGTTAGTATTCTGTATGCTGATTTTCACTCTAGTATGTCTATTGAGCGAATAAGAGCCTTTGCTACAACTGGAATTGGGGTTGGAGATGGGGAAGTCAGGAAGTGAATAAAGCTCTGCCCGGATTTGACATTTGGTCTAAGTATTATTTCGCCTTTTTCTGGAGTCTGGGCCCTGTAATCAGAAGGTCACAATGTCATAAATCCATGTAAACAGGCCACCCGTGCCTTTGTGTTGGGCAAGAGAATTCAGTTATGCTCCCAAGAGAAGTAGCCAGCAGTTTTTACCCCCGTAAAAGTTTCAGAGAGGGGACCACTTTGGCTTTGCACCAGTGCTCTGAAAACTAGCCCATGCTATCCAAACTAACTAGACTTTGTAACTCATGTATTTACTAATCAAAAAGGCTTTAAGGTGTTTCAAAAGAAGACATTATTTTTTTTTGCAAAATGACCACATAGGTTATAAAATAATGAAAATTTGACAGGTATTTATTTTTAAACACAAGATCATTCCAGACATATCCTGAGTAAACCTGACTTTCCTTTAATCTTTCAAATGGCAAAAGAAAAAAAAAGGACAAAAGAGTAGCAGACCTCAGAATAGGTGAAAACATTCATAAAGGACTTTGGGGGAAGGTTTGATCATTGTAAGACACTTGCTCCCTGTTGCTATGTGTTAAGCTATTAACACTATCAGCTAATATTTACTGAGAATTTACTGCCTGTTAGGCACTTCAAGTTTCATGGATTATCACACTTAATTCACATAATAACTTTATGAGGTAGGTGCTACTATTCTCCTGTTATAAAGATTAGGAAAACGAAGTCTCCAAAAGATAAGTAATTTGACCCACATCACTTTCCCAGTGAAAAGTACAACTGGGATATTAGTTTAGGGGAGTCTAATTCCAAAATCTTTGTGATCAACCGCAAGGCCATACTGCTTTATGAGGAACTGGGAGGGGAGAATCTAGCCAAGCATCAATCCTCTCTGCACCTGCACAGGGGTCATTCAAATCTGAGGATGCGCTTCTGAAGGCTGGACCGCCACACACAGTTCTTCAGCCTGTGCACTGCTCCAGGATGCCACAGCTCAGGGGAGGCCATCCACGTAGTAGATGTGTTCCAGCTTATGAGGGAGGCTCTAGGTATTCATGAAGATCGGAAGGCCAAGTCCCGGGACAGCAGCACACACAGCTGTGCACAAATGGAAGAGTAGGGCCCTATTGTCCTGGCCCCCCGGGTTCTCAGCCTGCCTTTGGTCTGCGGAAAAACTTTAGCCAAAGAGTAAGTTTAATCGGAGAAGTGAGAAATGCAGAAACAAGGGGAAACAGTCAAAGGAAACCAAATAATAATAATGTGCTCATTAAGAACAGTCAAGGGCCTTTAGTTCCTGAGCCATATCCTGTGAGCTCTTAAAGACACCAAAACCCCCACCAGGTGGAGAGGTTAAGTATGTGATGACCAGACTGCAGCCATGACATAAGCTGCCACAGTTCTGAGAACAGGCCTCAAGAAATGGAAAAAAATCAGATCCTGGAAAAGGAGATTAACTACACTTAATCAAGACAACACTGGCCAGATCACTGATGACCAATTTCAAGATGACTGTCAGAGCTGACTGAGCTGTTTCTGCAAATAGCCCCCTCCCTCTGTCTATACAAGCTCTTAACCCCAATTGTCAGTGCAGGTGATTGGCCTTTGGACAGGTGTCCAGCTCCCCCCCGCCACCCAGTTGCCTGCATCCAAAATAAAGCAAACTTTCCTTTCCACCAACCTGGCGCTTTAATGGCTTTTGAGCGGCGCGCAGCCAGACCTGCATTCTCTGACACAAGCACACTGGCACACACGGCTGCATGAGACGGTCTTGTCCCAGCCATACTCTAGGCATCCCCTGGAGGTATTTCATTTCCTCTCCTAGTGCTTTCAGTGACTCTCTTCCTGTCCCCACTCTGTCTCAAATCTGGAAGGGGGAAAGCATAGGCAATACACGCTGCCCCGATGGTTATCCAATACGTAGCAATACGCCAACTACATCTATTTATTTTAAGGACGAAGTGTCATTTCTAATGGGCTCAAGAATACTACCTAGTCTACCAGGGGTCCTGGAGAGAGCCTTCAACTGCAGCACTTGTATCCCCTGAAGCCCTGTCATTGTTGAGTGCTTGGGCTACGCCTGCCATTTTAATATCAGTTGAAAGCCAGAAGAGACAGACACATTGCATCTTCTGCAAGATATTTCCATGAAATATCTTCCACAGGGAAATATTGGGGTAATTTTGAAGTATGTCATCCACCTGGATAAGCTACACTTGCCAGTGTTCTCTCTCCATGGAGATCATCTCGTTTACTGTATTGTGTTGTGTCCGGAGCATGAATGGTAGCTGCCAAGCATGCAGTGGATATGGAGGCCTCAAGCTGCCTCCCCGTGGAAGTCGAAGGGGACTGGCCAGCTCGTAGGCACCAGCTGCCAGCCAGACAACAGGGGAATTCCTTTCCTGAATTTTCTCTTCTCCCCAAGCTGTTGCATCATTTACCCAGAAGAGTTCTGAATGAATTGTCTGATCTGGGGCACTCTAAAAACTCTGGGCCCTGGACTGGAGGGGAAATAAGAGGTAGAAGGATATGTGTCAGTGCCTTTCCCCTGAAGCTACTGTCATCACCCCTGGAAATAAGGAATAAGGGGTGGTAAGAATGACAAAGGATCTGGACTGGCTCCCTGTTATAAGAAATAAAAACCGAGGCCCAGCATGCAGTGACCAGCATGGAGTATAGAGAGGTGAGCGGCAGCCCTATGCCTCACCCCTCCAGTCTCCAGAGTTAACTCCAGCTGCCTTCCAGCGCATCGGACAGCCAACTCAGCCTCAAGGTTTAAAGAAAAGAAACTAGAAGGTTTCCAATCACCAGCACGTCAAAAACAGAAAAGTCCAAGTGGATTTTACTTCTGGACTGAGATGGGTCTAGAATCCCCAGCTAAGCCTGGAGATCCAAAGGTGAGACGAGGCTTTCCCCGAGGGGTTGGGGGCTTGTCTCCTGATGTGGGTGATGAGGGGCAGCAGCAACTGCCCCAGAACAGCCAGGCCGTGCTCCCAGGGGCCAGGGAAGGATTCTGGAGGTCAGGCCAGCATCTCCCTCCTACGGTCCTACTCTTCTCTCACTCCCACTCTCCCTCCCACCAGAGTGCAGGACTACTTACAGTCCTCTGAGTGACTGGCTGCTGCTGCTGCTGCTGCTGCTGCTGCCAAGTCGCTTCAGTCGTGCCCGACTCTGTGCGACCCCATGGACTGCAGCCCACCAGACTCCGCCATCCCTGGGATTCTCCAGGAAAGAGTACTGGAGTGGGTTGCCATTTCCTTCTCCAATGTGTGAAAGTGAAAAGTGAAAGTGAAGTCGCTCAGTCGTGTCCAACCCTTTGCAACTCCATGGACTGCAGCCCACCAGGCTCCTCCGTCCATGGGACTTTCCAGGCAAGAGTACTGGAGTGGGGTGCCATTGCCTTCTCCGCCTGAGTGACTTAGAACCAACTAAAATTAAGAAGGGCTTCCCAGGTGCTACTAGTGGCAAAGAACCCAGCCTGCTGATGCAGGAGACATGAGAGACACAGGTTCGATCCCTGGGGTCAGGAAGATCCCCTGGAGGAGGGCATAGCAACCCACTCCAGTATTCTTGTCTGGAGAATCCCATGGACAGAGGAGCCTGTGGGCTTACAGTCCTTAGGGTTGCAAAGAGTCAGGCACAACTGAAGCAACTTAGCACACACGCACGTTAACATTAAGAAGGAGAAGGAAGCATGGTTCTCTTGCAGTCAAAGCTTTTGCGGGGCTGTGGAGAGGAGAGATGTTTTGCTCGAGGTCATTGCCACGGGCAACACGGAACCTCCTGAATCCTGGTTCTGTGCTCTTTCCTTATACCTGCCTCCTTCCTTTCTCATCTGCTGCCACAGGTGGGAGGACAGGAGAGAAGTGGGGCTCAAGGGGGCAACGGGGACTTGGGGAGTTACACACCAGCCTGGGCTGAAGCTGGGGTAGAGCCCTTCCCAGTGGGATTGAGGGGCAAGAGAATTCCCCAATGTGCCCTGTCCTCTAAAATGCGATGCACGATCCTAGAGGTATGTGACCCCAAGCTACTGAGTTGGGGCTCCCTGTCTCCTGGAGAGAGGTTTCCTGAAGGTCACCGGCAGGTGGATGACTTAGAGGCTTTCCGTTGAATGTTATCCTTGCAACCTCCAATCAAGGCTGATAACTCCTTGGAGGCATTTTATCTCACACCCTGTGCTTCCTCATTGCCCTACAGAGGCGGTTTTGCTCCTGCAGCTGAGAGATAGCTGCACCCTCTGGGGCTTCAGTGAAGCCGGGCAGGGCCGTGCAGACTTTGGCCCCAGTGTGTGCTGTGTCAGCACTTAGCACTTGAGAAAAACCCGCCTGCGGGAACCTGAATGGCAGTCCCAGAAGTAGCCTGGACCTGGTGGATATTAATCAAACAACAGATTATGTGCAGACACCCCTGGGAAAGCCTCCAGATGAGAGCAGGGAGCCAACAGATTAGAAGGCAGGAGGGCTTGAGGCTGCCATGATGGTGCCCGAGACAGGAGGCAGAGGGAACCTGTGAACCTTGCCAATCTGACCACCCTGGGGGCTCCACCTGAGTACAGCTGGCAGAGGCTTGAGTGGACATGGCCGGCACAGCCATGCTGAGGCGACAAGGTGCATCACAGAGCCAAGCACGGGCTCCACCTCTTTCTCTCCTCTCTCTCTCCTTTCCTTCACCTCCTGCCTCACCCTTCCTTCCCCCTTCTCCTGTTTCCTGTGCAACCCCCACCCCCACTCCCACCTTGTTCCCTTATCTCCTCCTTTAGCCCAAGCCCAGCCTGGCCAGTGGCCATGTGTGGTTTTGTCTACTTGGACAGGGAGTGGGGCAAGGGGACCAGATTATGACTGTATGCGCCTGTTCTCAACATGAGCAGGACAGGTATTAACGTGGGAAGAAACAATGGCTGACTTCAGTTTGATTTCTTTAGAAAAAGTATCCACAGGTCCCAGGAGCTGCAGGCAGTAGATATATTCAAAGAAGAGATTTTTAACCACTCAAAAAGCATCCATGAAAACCCTCTGGGGGCTACAAAAGAAGCATTATGTATTAACACAATCCTTGCCTTTTTTCAATCAGCAAGCAACAAAGGGCCATTGATAATGGTCAGTATGGTGTTTGTCAAAAGAGTGAGAGGTTCTTGTTCATAACTTGTTTAGTCATGCTCAGGTACGTGCCTTGGGCACCTACACGGGCTAGATCCCGATTCAGAGCCCGGAGCCTCAGAGTCCTACCTTCCAGGAGCTCCTGGCTGGTGGGAGAGACCAGAGCAGGGAGAGCAGCGACGGCCGCGGGCCAGGGAGGGGTTTCAGGAGCTTGTGGAGTAGAGACTGAACAGGACCCTTGGCAGAAACGACTTGGCCTGAGAGTTGATTTTTAACTCCTGCTATTGCCTGGAGGCTCACACCAGTGAGAGAGATTTTTCCTTGAAGGAAGCAATTCTTCTGTGAAACAGAAGGGGAAGTGGGAGACTCGGCACCAGGCCGCCTGTGGACGCTTCTAACCCAGTCATTTAAGTGGCACAGCACCCTGTACGGAGTCTCATTCCCCGGGAGAGGAAGCTGATCTCCAACACTGAGTAACCTTTCCAGGGTCCCACAGTTCCAACTAAGGCTTAAACTTCTGGCTTGGAGAATTTCCACTACACAGTGCTCAGATCTAGAGCCCCATGCTGGCAAGCAGGTGCTGGGGCTGGCATGCCACAGAGGGAGTTTTTCCAGGCTTGGAGGCAGCAAGCCAAGCCAAATGTGTGTGTCTGGGGCCATGAGGATGGAGCCATGCTTCTCTCAAAGGGCCGTGACATCCTGCTCTTAAATGGAGCTGATCCGGCCCCAGCACTGAGCTAACCCCGATCCCAGAGTGAGGAGGTAATCACACAGGTCCCAGGGCTACTGGACCCGTGTCTCACTCACCTGCCCTCAGGCCTCCTCATCGACAGTGGTTTTTTCTTGCAGGTCACCAGCCAGAGGGCAGGATGCAGAATGCTCCTCTTCCTCCTGATGTGCCTGCTGCAGGGTGAGTCCCAAACAGCCAGATTCAGAGCTTGCACACCCAGACCCAAGCCTTCCAGGCTACAGCCTGGCAGGCACCTCAGGGGCCTTCAGCAGCCCCTCCAAAGTACAGGCATTCCCCATGGCTTTGGAGCAAGTGAGTGATTGGATGTGGGCCCAGGGAGAGTGTGGGAGGCAAGAGCTCACACGAAAGTGTGTATGTCCGACCTAAATGATTGCTGAAATATTCAGTGTTTTGATCTGTCTCTGCCCTCTTCCATTCAAGTTGATGACTGAAAGTAGGCTGCATTTGCCAGATGTGGGTTCCAGGATAGCACTGCTCTATTAGCACTCATTCTAAAATAACTCAAGTGTCAAGCCCAGTTCCAGGCATGTAAAGACGAAGACCTCGCCCTAAAGAGTGCAGGGTCTACAAAGAAACCAGATGGGTAAATAAAAACTACATTGATGCATTTACTTCTTTAGTCAATACCCACTTATGGAGGGCCTACCCTGTGCCAGGCATTATGGACAGATGGACGGAAGTCAAGTTGCAGGCTGGTGTGATGATCAGTCCTGTCTCCATGCTGTGGTGTCTAGTTTTATTCTGATGGTAATGGGGGGCCACTGAGGAAGACAGTAAGTTTGCGTCCAGAGTATCCAAGTAACTGCCTAATAAAAAATGTTGAAAGAGTAGATTAATAAATGAATGCTATGATAACACCCTGATGCTGGGAAAGATTGAAGGCAGGAGGAGAAGGGGACGACAGAGGATGAAATTGTTGGATGGCATCACCAATTCAATGGACATGAGTTTGAGCAAGCTCCAGGAGATGGTGATGACAGGGAAGCCTGGTGTGCTGCAGTCCGTGGGGTCTCAAAGAGTCGGACATGACCTATTGACTGAACAACAAATAATAGCACTAAAAACAATTTTGTTTGGCTTATAAACAAGTCAGATTTTAATGAATCTCACAGACTTTAATGAATCAAGAGTAGCTAATATTGGAGCAAGAAACTTCTGTGATATAATCACACCACCTCTTTATTTTCATCTCTCACTGCCCCCTTTAAAATTTTTCAGTAGGAGCAAGCTTCCTGGCCCCCAGATGAAAACTCAGGCAGGCCCATGATTTTTCAAGTCTCAAAAGTTCTAATTGGATCATTTTAAGTATCCAGTTAAATATTTTGGTCAACCATTTCGTTTTCATTCAGAGATGTGCGCCACCCCCCGCCCCCATCACCCCAGGCCTACAGTCGGGAAGGCAGGGAGGGGTATGAGGCTGCCTTCCCCCCCACCCCCCCCCCCGGTCCTTCTCCCCGCCTCGGAGGCAGTTGGCACCTGGGACCCCAGCAGGGTCACGGTGGCGGGTGGGAGGGGAAGCAGGAGGCAGGCTGCCCTTACCTGATGGACTGGCCTGGAGCTCTCTGGCCTGGCAGGCTTCAGAACTGGCTCTTCCTCTTGTGGATGCCTTTGCGGACCCCTCCAGGGCTCATCTCCCCACTGTGGTCCCTGCACACAGAAGACCCCATCTCAGATGGCTGCAGGCTGGTTCTTTCCCCGCTGGGACCCACCACAGGGCAAAGGGAGCACCCAGACCTTTCTCATCCCATTGCTGGGGCAGAAGTGACCCATCCCAGGCACAAGCTGGCTCTGCGTACTCCTGCCACATGCCCCTTGCACCTCCTCACACCAAGGCAGGCTCCAGGCTGTGGTCTCCAACTGCAGGCCTCAATTGGCCGTCCTTGCCTGAAGCCACACAGTGGACACTGCTGGGAGAAGATGGGTGAGTGACCGCAGGGGCACCACCTCCACCAAAGGGGTCCCCAGGAGCCATCACACTGATCCTAAAATGCCAGCCCTTTCTTTAATTCTCACAGTCAACTAGTACAAAATTCCCAAAACCTTCATCATATATAACTAAGAGCTTACATCAGAGTTGGGCCTCCTGGGTGGCACTAGCGGTAAAGAACCAGCCTGCAAAGGCAGGAGACGTAAGAGACGCAGGTTTGATCCCTAGGTCAGGAAGATCCCCTGGAGGAGAGCTCGGCAACCCACTTCACTATTCTTGCCTGGAGAATCCCATGAACAGAGGAACCTATCAGGCTACACTCCACAGGGTTGCAAAGAGTCAGACATGGCTGAAGCAACTTAGCACGGACTCATGCAAGAGCTACCAGTTATCCACTGAACAAGTTCTCAAGGGTGCATGAAATTTGATATTGATAAAAGAAAAAAAATGTGCATTGCAAAAGTTGATTAAGGATTCCTAATCAGCTCTCAACTGCAAAGTCAGAACACCCCATCCTGCTGATCAATGGGGCTCATTAACCCTCTTGCTCTGCCCCCTCCCCCTACACACACGTAGGTCACACACAGAGTCCAGAAATCAGAGCGCTGTCACTGCTGTCCTGAGACACTCCTTGCTTGTGATTGCATAGATTCTTGCTTTTTATGATAAGTTGCTATGTAACTTCATCAACAGTGGCACAGTTGCGGTGTGTCAGTGAGTATTGATTTATCTCTAACGTATATGGCCTTGACTCTTCCTATAACCAGACCTTAAGATATGCAGCAGGCAGCCCAGCTTTACGGACATACACCCTATGCAGTCACACCGGGCCCCATTTATAAGGTGCCTGGTTTAAAGCTCTACTATTGCCTCGTGAACGCTTAGAGACTCTGGAACGTGAGGTCCTCCATTTTTATTTTGCACTGGGCCTTGCAAATTATGTAGCCAATCCTGGCAACAGGGTTAAACTTTCTTGGGGTCAGCGGTGCTAAACACTGCTTCCTGATCAGGTGCTTCCCTGATAGCTCAGCTGGTAAAGAATCCACCTGCAATGCAGGAGACCCTGGTTCGATTCCTGGGTCAGGAAGATCCACTGGAGAGGGGATAGGCTACCCCCTCCAATATTCTTGGGCTTCACTTGTGGCTCAGCTGGTAAAGAATCTGTCCACAATGCAGGAGACCTGGGTTCAATCCCTGGGTTGAGAAGATCCCCTGGAGAAGGGAAAGGCTACCCACTCCAGTATTCTGGTCTAGAGAATTCCATGGACTCTATAATCCATGGGGTCGCAAAGAGTCGGACATGACTGAGCGACTTTCACTTTCAAAAACATAGAACAGATTGATAGATGCCAGGCACCCGTATCCTAAAGCAAGATGTTGAACCACATGGAGAGGACTGTGAAGAGAGATGGCAAAGCTGGTTGTTCCAGAAAAATCCCCCCATGTCGTTCCCAAAGAATCATCAGGCGTCAGAAAGAAGAGCTTTCTGGAGAGAGGCAGCGTGATGTGCTCTACACCACCTGTCCAAAAGGGACAGGGGGCTCACCTCCTCCCGGCTTTTAGAGGAGTAAGAGAAGGAGCTTCTAGGAAGCCACTCAACAAGCTTGCTGTATGCCCAGCTGTCTCCCGACAGCTCGGTTCCAGCAGGGACCAAATGTGGATCCCAGAGAAGGAGCTGCCCCAGGGCCTCCAGCAAGAGGGCCACCCACAGGGGACTGTGACTCCAACCCGAGGGGCACACGGCCCCAGGTCATGGGCTTTAAAGGCCAGCAGGAGAGGAGGCAGTTCCTGCCAGGAGGGAACTCACTGCAGCCAGAGGCCCTGACAGGGGATCTGGGAGGCAACGGGGAAGGACGCGACGCTGGACGCTGCCTTGTCCAGAGGGTGCCACCTGCTGCCAGGGCTCCTCCCCTCCCCTCTCCCCTCCACACCCAGCCCCAGAGGGGCCCCAACAGCAGCTCTGAGTAGAGAAAGAGGTCCAGCAAAGCAAGAGACCCGAGCTGTCCCCCTCCCAAACATCAGGCCTCCAAGCATAGCTGGAAGAAAGGAAAAAGCTTCAATAGGATAAGAGATTGGAATTGCAACAATCATTAGGCTGTATGTTTTCTTACCCAAGCGAGACTACAAAAGCTACTGTACGTGAAATTACATCTGAGATTTCGTCAAGGAGCAGAGACATCCCAGAGCCAGTGTGAAGAGGCGGTCAGTGAAAGGGCCGTGGACTGAGCCGCAGCCACGGCCGCAGCCCCTGCCGAAGCAGACGTACTCACAGTCTGCTCAGCTTTGACGGCAGCGCCCAGTGGCTTCCGTTTCCAGGGGAAAGTGAGCCATGTTGCAAGCGCTGGTCCTAGGAGGTACCACCAATCAGGGCAGGATTCCTGTGCTTCCAGCACCCTCTCCTTTCAGCAGCAAGCATACGCTTCTGTTTTTATTATTTAACATCTCTCTTTTTAAAAGAAAAAATTACTGACATATCGCTGATTCGCAATGTTGTGTTAATTTCTGCCGTACCGCAAAGTGGTTCAGTTAGACATATATCTATTCTTTTTCATCTCCTTTTCCATTGTGGTTTATCAAAGAATACTGAGTATAGTTCCCTCTGCTATACAGGGGGACCTCGTTGTTCTAATATCTCCCTTTGACATTCCGTGCCGACAAATCACAGCCTTCAGTCAGGTGTTGCCGTGGCCCCTTTACAGGTGCTTAGGTGGCAGCGTTTTAAATATCTGCTTTTTTAAAAAAAACATCTGCACTGGAGCCCAGTGGCTAGAACCCAGGCTGTGGGCAGACTCACAGAAGATCAGCTGGCACAGGGTAAGTTCTATAGCGGTTAGCTGAACCGCGGTAAGATCATTCTTGCATTTTCATCTCTCGGACCGGGCCTTTCACACAGCTCCATTCCATCCCTTGGGGCTCCTCCTGATCTAGGGGCTAAAGACTGACATTTCTATTGATTCTTTTTAGCTTCCCCGGTGGCTCAGTGGTGAAGAATCCTCCTGCTAATGCAGGGGGCACAGGTTCAATCCCTGGGTCAGGAAGATCCCCTGGGGAAGGAAATGGCAACCCACTCCAGTACTCTTGCCTGGGAAACCCCATGGACAGTGGAGCCTGGCAGAGCCACAGTCCGTGGGGGATCACAAAAGAGGCGGACATGACTTTAGCGACTAAACAACTACAAAGAAAGCTCTACTTTCACAGAGGCACTTTCTGACCTGTTCCCTAATTCTAGCAGAGTCTGGAGCTCAGAGCTCCTCCAGCAGCAACACTCGGCGCTCTTTCTCCATGGACGTCTTTCTCCCTCTGCCTGCAGCCGCCAGTGCACTGAGGGGCCCACGGCTGGTGTCCGGGGAGCCTGGGGGCGCCGTGACCATCCAGTGTTGGTACCCCCGCTTGGCCATCAACAGCCACCAGAGGAAGTACTGGTGCCGCCTCGGGCCCCCGGCAGGGGTCTGCCGCACAGTCGTGTCCACCAACCGCTACACGCACCTGCGCTACCGTGGCCGCGTGGCCCTCGCAGACTTCCCCCGAAGAGGCTTATTTGTGGTGAGGCTGTCCCGGCTGTCCCCGGAGGACGAGGGGCGCTACCGCTGCGGCCTCGGGAGCTCAAACAATGCCTTGTTCTTCAGCATGAACCTGACGGTCTCTCCAGGTCAGGGCCGGCGGCTGGCGGGGCAGGTGTGGTGACGAGAATGCTAGGGAGGGGAGGAGACCACGGGAAGCCCAGAGGCCCCGGAGGGCGTTACACGCAGGGACAGTGATGATGAGAGTGGGGTCATGCAAGGACCCAACGTGCGGGCTTGTGTTTCAGACAGAGGGAAGGTAGATACCAGGGAAAATGGCCCATTTGCACCCAACGGCCCAACACTGGGAACCCCTGAACGTTGTGGCACGTGGATTTGAAGAGGGTTCCGTGAAGCCGGTGAGTTAGATAATGTGGCTTCTTGTGGTCACATCTCTTTGTTCAGACGTGCGGAGCAGGCAAGATGGGCAGGACTGAGCCCTTCCTAAGACCGAGCCTCTCAGCAGGTGTCTGACGGCGGCCAGGCCGGGGTCCTGTGTGGCTGGTTCCGGAGAGCTGTCCGGAGTCAGGGACCCGGAGTCCAGGGAAGGGCATCAAGCTGTGAAAGGAGATGAAGGCAGGCAGGAGTCCAGAGAGAGGACTGTTCGATTAGAGGCTGCTCTCTAACCACCTGCGGACACTGGCTACTCTGCTGTGACTGGAGTTTTTCTTTTTTTCTCATTTGCAGAGCAGTACGTGAAGGGCTGTGGGCCTCTGGGGAAGCACACAGCATAGGGTTCTGGGGCAGCTGGATAGAGAACATGTGGGTATAAAAGAAGGAGACAGGAACATAAAGTGTCAATATTTGCAACAGACTGTAGAATACAGCTGGTTTTCCCAATTTTTTATTTTATCCAATATATTGGCCAAAGACTGCACTGCTTAGCAAGGGTGCATCCTATGCAGCAAACACCTCAAGCCTGATGTCATTTGCTAAAGCCTGTAGGCAGCCCGGATAGCCTTCTTATTAGGCCTCCTTCTGCTGTTCACACAGGTCTTTCCAGAACCATCCCCACAGCCACGCTGGCCTATGGTGAGCTCATCACAGAATCCTCTGAAACAGCATCACCCCCAGCAGCCAAAAGATGCACACGAGCAAACACCCAGACGACAGGAAGACAGACGACAGGATGGGATACAGTTGCCCTGACTCCAGGAACCAGGAAAACCACGGCTTCAGCCACAGAGAGGCAAACCCCAGGAGCAACTGCGGTGGTGGCTCCAGGGACAGGCAGCCTGGTAGAGCTCTCCGTCGGGGCAACTGTTCCCACTGTGCAGAGTCCGGCTTCAACAGGCAAAGGCGTTACCGGTGCAGCAGCGCGGGTGCAGCTGCTGGTGTGGAGCACCAGCGATTCAGAAGCAACCAGGGCCAGGGCCAGCAAAAGGGAGAGAGAAACTACTCCTGGGGCCAACAGGCCAAGCGAGGAGACAGAGAGCGTCAGCGCAACCCCGGGAACCGCTGAGACAGCTGCAGGGACCGTTAGGCCATCGACCCTGGCCTCAGAAAGATGGATGTGGGAAACCCTCCAGGAGGAGACATCGGCTTCTGAGCCACAGAGCCTGGGCTCCATTAAAGGGACCATCCCGGCTGCGGCTGTGTGGACCTCAGAGCCAACCCACATAGAGATGGCATCTGCGGAGGGAAGCGGTGAAGTTGACCTGGACACGCCTGCCGGAGATAGTGGTCCCCAGGTGATGCCAAGCCAGGCCCTAGCAGCGGGGCCCCCGGGGCCCCCAGCCAAGGAGTCTTCGGTAAAGAGGTAACCCCAAGCCCCCCCCCCCACTCCCCTCCAGGGCTGCAGCTCTGCCTGCTCCCTGAGTGAGCTCACCTTCACATGCCCCGCGTCTGCTCACTCCCCTCCTCCCCCCTGTAGCCTCAGGCCAGTCAAGGGCAAGGGTCACGGGGGTCAGAATCCTGCCTCCTTCCAAGGGTCCTCGCTGGAAGAACACCATCTGAGCATTTTCACGAGACTGAGCAAACATCTAAGCGACAGAATATTTAGAATATTTAGGTGGGACTGTTGGGACTTTTCATTTCTTATGGATGAGGAAAGAAAGCTCCAGTGGGTGGTGAGGTGGGGTGGCGGGGTGACTGACTGAAGCCACAAAGAGAGACTGCGGCAGAGCCAAATGCCTAGCGTGGATTCCCTGAGCCGACTCAGTTCTCTTGGCCCCTGCGGCCCGTTGGCAGGGACCCCACACAGGTGGTCAGGGAGGGACAGGACTGAGGACTTGGGACCTGGGAGGCAGGGGACTGCATCCCAGGTCAGCGACTAACCCACCAGCCGTGGAAGAGGGCGGCTGGCCGGCCCAGGCCTCCATGTGGCCTCTGTAAAATGAGGGGTGAGGCCCCAGGGCCTCGGCCTCCCGGGGCGCTCCAGGCCCCGCTCTCTCGTGCATTTCTGACGCCCACTCCTGCGGCTTCTCTGCAGTGCTCCTCTGGAAGAGAAGAACTTCTCCGGGATCCTGACCCCAGTCTCGTCAGCGCTGTGCCCGCTTCTGCTGGTGACCCTTGTTCTGTGGAAGAGGAAGCTTCAGAAGAAGGGGAGCTGTGAGTGGGGTCTAACTCACCCCAGGCCCACGGATGGGAGGGCTCGTTCCCCTCTGACGCCCTCAGGACTGGGGTGGGTCAGGGCCAGGGCCAGGACTGCCGGATGTGGAAATGCTAAATGCTAGTCTGGGCCATGCTAGCCAGGCTTGGCCTTGGTTCCTTTATCTGTCAGATGGGAAAGTCATCTGTTTATTTATGTCCTGGTGGCATCCGAGAGCTTAGGGAGAAGTCCTTCAGAGAACGGTGAGACCGCTGCTTACTGTAGGCCTAAGATCCACGTGAACAATGCTGGCAGCAGACAGGAGGGCAGGGCCCAGACGGGCAAACTATACCCTCACCCTCTGCAGACCTCTTACAGCACCAGGCCCAGCTTTAAACACATCTAAAGTGACTGCTCCATGGTGGTTAGATGTGTCAAAGAAAGGGTGAGATACTCTGGGAGCAAGCGAAAGGGGCTAAGCTTCCCAGACCCAGGGCCCTGAAGGCCTGGCCCAGTCTCTGCGGATCTAAGGGTCTGAGTAGAAATCTTCTGTGTCAGGAGGTCCTTGAAGCTTGCAGAGGGTGAGGCGGTTCTCAGGGAATCAGATTCAGTGCCCAGGACCCTCACCATGTGCTCTGTGTCTGTGCAGCTCAGAAGACAGGAAGATCACCAGGGGTCACCTTGATTCAGATGACACAGTTCCCGGACCTGGGCCTCCAGCCAGCCCAGCCACCCCAGGTGGGAAGGAAGAGGCTCCAGGTCGACTCTCCTCCTCTCCACGCCGCCTGAGTCTCCCGGCAAGGGACCCGGGACCCTAAGGAATGGAAGGATAAGCCCATCTGTCACTGTGGAAAAGGAACCAGGACCGAATACCATGGCCCAGCTTCTTCTCTTCCTTCCTCCACGTGAACGAGCTGGGGCAGAGGGAGCTGGGAGAGTGGGACTCTGTCTAGGGAGACAAAGACTGGGCCGAGGAAGCAAGCATTTTCCAAGGTCATAGGGGACACTGGGACTCAAGGAAGGCTGCAAGAGTCAGTTCACTACTGGTGGAGGTCAGTGGACCTGGATAAGGCGTGAAATTTCCATTCCTGGAGGGTTGAAAACATGAGAGGTTTACAATCAAAGTGCAATGTTAACAAAATTTCAACGATCACTCCTAGCCCTTGTAGGTGCTCCCTTTTCTGATGTCTGTTAGCACCCAGCCTACTGCACACATTTGATTCTACTCATTTCCAGTAGATTCTAAGCTCTGGGGGCAGTAATTGTGTGTTATCCTTCTCACTACATCCCCGAAACTTCAGCTCACTAGAGCCCCCAATAAATAATTGTACTGAACGACTGACTGGAGGGAAATGGTCTCCGTGGCCTGTGGTGACCCTGCCCATGAAGATGCTCTGAACCTCTTTCAATGTGGGGGGCCCATAGACGATCCCACAGGTCCCTACATGGGGACCAACAGGAGGAACATTTGTTCCCCATTCATCCCTCCCCACTTGGCCCCAGACTGATTATGCTATAGACCTTTTGACCCAGTCAAGATTTTCTGGGATTTTCCTAAGTTCATGAAGGAGAAGGGTATTTTTCAGTAGATTCTCATCTTCTTCATAAAGCTCCTCTTATTCAACTGTTTATAAATCCTTGATACCAAGGACTGATGATAAAGCTGGAAAGTGGTTATGGTAAGAGGGGCGGATCAGAAAGAGGATGGCCAAGAGGAACTTTAAGTGAATTCTGCTTTGCAGCCATTTTATCACATGCTTGTTGGGGGATTTGGCTCTGGTCCCAGCTGTCACATCTAGTCAGGTGTCACTTCTGCTCTTTTACTTTGCCAGGTCTGTCAACAAGCTGTTTGAGCTTCACGTTTGGACAGAGCAGCCCTTGAGCAATGGAAGAGAAGGGAAAGAAAGGCTCTAGCATCAAGTCAGGAATTGTCAGGTAGATATTCCCAGAAGGCTGAGCCCTGCCTCCTAAGCTGTCAGCAGCACCAGAAATCCTACCTTACTGCCTCTGCGAAGCTGGGGCTGAACCCAGACACTGTCCAGAGAACATAAATATGATATGGTCTGCACGGTTTGGGAGAGAAAGACTCACTGTTTTGGTTAAGCAGTGAAGTTGCCTGCACCTAACCAAACAGATTACAGAACTTCAGCACTACCAGATCCTCAGAAGTCAACCAGTCTAAAACCCACTGCCCAGGGTAAGATAGCTGAGACCCTGTGGTGGGACAACAGCTTGCTGAGAGTCACTCAGTTAACCTGGTTAGGAACAGAAGGATGAGGACTAGAAAGGGAACTCATGACCTTGACCTAGCTCTTTCCTCACTTCCCCTTTGCTAAACAACATATCAGAGCAAAAGTCATCATCAAGAATCAAAGACACCACACCCCTAGCTCTAGACCGTTTTCATGCACATGATCTCAGGGGCCTGCCTGAAACACCTGTAAGACAGACAGAAGAGCCACCATCATCCCCTCCCACCGATGTGGAAACAGGCCCTCAGGGATATAGAGTCCAACCATGATCCCTCAGCTCACTGCACGCAGGAACGGGAGCAAATCCAGACTCTACAGGACCGCTCCAGCAGAGTTTTCCAGAGGCATCCGCAACACGCTAGCTTCTGAGGACTGTTAAGAGCTATTCTGAGGAAAGGGTTTGGTAGATCAGAGAAGTTTGGGAAACGTGGCTTAAACCAAAAGCAGGTTTTGTGCAGGATTATTGGAAGACTTTAATACACCAAGGTGCATTGTGAACAGCCCTGGTGGGAGGGTCAGGGGACATTGTACGTGTTTCCCCGGGTTTTGGACTATCGTGTTTAGCTTGAAGCGATCTCACAGGACTGGGCTCCTCAAATCATTCCTCGTTTTGGGAAGCCTGATGCACTGAATCAGGGGTCACAGACCTTTTCTATAAAGGGCCAAAGAGCAAATACTTCAGACTCTGCAGGCTGTAAAGCCTCTGTTGCAACTGCTCCACTCCACCCTGGCAGCCCAGAAGTGGCCAAAAACCATCCTGAAGTGAATAACTTTTGGCTGTATTCCAACAAAACTATTTACAGAAGCAGGCCACAGGCTGGATCTGGCTCAAGAGTGGTAATTAATTTACAGCCTTAATGCCAATCCTTGCATTAAACCGTAAAACCAACTGAGGTTCTCCACTTCCCACTCTGATACGGGGGATCTGACTCCAACCTCCTCTAGCTTCCCTTGACCACCCTTTGCTGGCACCTTCCTCCTTCTGCACCCCTGTGAGCCTCTTTCTGGGGTGCAGCAGTTGGGCATTCTGCCTGACCACCTGCCTGGGGGAGGAAGGACGGCACCCGCTGGCCAGGGTGTTGTCCAAGGGGTTGGGGTCAGGGGCAGCTTCCAGAAGTAGGAGAGGCTGCCACATCAGAGTGTTCCAGGGAAAGCTGAGGTCCACCAGTGGGGAGAGCCAGTACAAGCTCAAAGGGATGGAGCAGAGCCAAAAGCAAAGTCTTTGGAGCTGAGCAGAGATAAGATCTGAGTGAAATCTTGGCCAGGAAGGAAGTGGGGGAACCCCTAAGGCTTAAGGCACTCCTTTATGGGCTTAAGGTGCTCCTTTATGGGCTAACGGATACCTGGAGAGGGGCAGGGGCCTGGATTTAAAGGGCCAGAGGCAAAGGAGGCTAAGAAGGCCATGGCCACCACTGGGAACTGTCAGCACTCTGGATTTTAATCTCATATCCCCAGCTAGCTTGATACCCACACCTCTGGGATGAGGAGCAGGGGAACTTCCATCTCTGAAGCTGGAATCAGCCAAGTGTCCACGGGAAGTATCCAAGATACAGGGAAGCACTCCCTTTCCTAAGATCAAGCATGTTCTCTGGATTAGGGAGCAACCCTCCCAGTCTCAACTTGCTACATAACAATGCTGCTGCTGTTCATTGAGTATCTCAAAGCAGGCACACTCCTAGGTATTTTCACATTCTATGTTCACTTGATGCAACATTTCTCTAAAGTAGGCAAGATAATCCCCATTTTACAGATGAGAAGACTGAGGAGACAGAAAGTAGCCAGGAGCCACTGAACACAAGGCAGCCACAAACGAAACCCTTGGTAATGGCACTGCACCGCCGTGCTGGACTTACAGCCTGCTTATTTTGGTCATGCCCTTCCCTGTTTAAGATTCTAGAGAAGTCCTTGTTTTCCTCTTTTAGGCCTTTGTGTAAAAAGTCTCATAACCATTTCCAGTAATTTGCTCTCTTCAGTCACTGAGCTGACCTATTCCTGTCCTGGCTAAGTGAAGTGGAAAAGTTCAGACAGCTGGAGCTAAGAGCTAAAACTTCACTGACCAGCCCCGAGGTCCTTACTGGCATTTGCAAAACTCGAGCTCAGCTCTTAGTCGCTCGCAGGGGCATCCATCTGCCACAGGTAACTTTGGACAAGCGCTTGACTTTACAGCCGACTTCTCATACGCTCCACAAGGATTTGGGGGGTTTCTTCCTCTCCTCCAGGAGCCAATGGGGTCTGGGAAGCACAGAATCAATTCCCTTCAGATACAGAGAGGGAGGTATTTCCACGAAAGGACTTTAGGGAGGTATTTCCACGAAAGGACTTACACTTCACTTCAGTCAAGTAGACATGGATTATGTTATTATTTTCCATTGGTGCAGATAATCCAGGGCCAAGAGCTTGACAGAGGTTGAATGGAGAATGGAGAGCCCGTACTAAAGGAAGTCACTCTCTGTGGGTGGTGCTGCATGCCAAGTCCAGGGCCAACAAGCCCTCCATTTTTCTTGAAGTGACACAGCGTGACTTACAGGCACTGGCCCTCCCAGGCCAAATTGCTCCCCTCACTGTCAACAAGGGTCTGAGCCATCACCCCACGGCCCACCCTCCAAGGGGGCAGCTGAAACCAGATGGGCAGCAGAGAAATGCCAGCTGCCGGGACGGACCCAATGCCTCACTCCTAGAGGCCTGCAGTCATCACGAGCGCTGAAGCCCTGGGTCAGCGGGCCGCCGTTTGCCTCCTGGCCCTGTTTGGCTGAAACATTCCTTGATTGGCATCTGGGCTTTTCTATGTTCTGCCTCTTCCAGCCTCTGACCAATTCCCGTCCTTTGCCTGTTTGTTGCCTTGATCTAGACCTACCAGTTTTGCTCTGAGCATAGAGGTTCAATTAATAAGGGC